AACACTTTCGAACAATCAGCGGTTTCCTTTTGCTGTGGGCCTGCGTTCACACACTCACACTTGCGCAGTTTTATGTGCGCACTCACAAGAATTATATATATGTGTGACTATATTATAGGCATGTATGTGTATAAATTTATTTGAAACCACTAGCTCAAACTTCTGCTTTGCTGTCTCGCGTGCCTTCAAATTATCCGAAAAACTATGGTTGTTGATGTGGTTAGCTATTTGTTATTGGCTTTCTTTAGCTGTCTATCAAAAATTCTTTACGTTTTCCCACATTTACACATATTTTTTTGTATGTGCACATAAATTTATGTCTTAAAATTTGCCATTCGATATCATCGCAATATATTAGTTGCTGATATTCGTTCCATATAGATAGTTAGATATGACTTTAATACTTTGCTACTTTGCAACTTTCACTTGTGCTTTCGCCAACTTCAATTTAAACTTTCTATTACATGACTACAGCACAGCAGCAGGATAACAGGCGCATGAGTAAATATGTTTTGAATAGAAAGAAAGAAAGTTGTAATGGATATTCTCAGCACGCAGTTTATCAAAACTTTCATAGTCTTATACAGTGTCGGCAGTGATGATATTCATACTGAGTTGTAAAAAATTTTTCAATGTGGAGGAGAACGAAAGAGTGAAAGTTTTGCTGTTGAAATTGGGACGAACATACTTGGCAAGCAAAAATAATGCGATTTTAAGTGTAAGAAATAATAATATATATAAAATATATTTTAATATCAAAGATATTCAATGTGCTTTATATTTGATGAAATGTGTGCGTTGAGAGAAGAATTCTTGTATGAAATTATTTGTTCGAACTTGTACAAGTTTCTTTAGTCAAATTTGTTAAAAACATAATTAGATATATATTTATTAAATTTAATATGTATGTATGTATATATAGTATAGAAACACAAATTAGCTGCTAACAACTCGCAACAACTATTGGAGTAATATATGTATTGAGACAAGCATTTTGTAGACAGAAATATTATTTGTAAGTGATCCAACATATTTATTTGCCCAACAAATTAAATTTTATTTAAAAAAACATTCTGTAAAGTGGCTTAAAAGCTCACTTTAAATAAGCTGATATGATATTAAACACCTTGATAGAAACTTTTGTATGAGTTAACCGACTGGACTTGTTTTATAGCTCTCATAGCAAAAAGCACGAATGTAGTAAGTAGTTAATCCAACTCTTTTATTTTTTAGAAATTGCTGTCCTCTCAAAAATTCTATTGAGTATGGTTGTTATTGTTCATAAAGTTTTATGCTATTAATAGTATCTTAATTGAAGCACAGCAAAGAAAAATATTTTAAATCAATATATATAGCCTTTTTCAATATCGTGAAATCTTTGTAAAACACATTTCAAATAATATTGATCACGCTGTGCAAAATTCCCTAGTTCAATCATAAACATAAAAACAGGAAAAAACTTTAACTTCGGCTGCACCGAAGCTATAATACCCTTCTCAGGCTTTGAAATGTATATTATTTTGATAAGAATAGAGATTGTTACGACGCGATAATTTTAAATATGTCATAATTTTACTTGCAATTGCGTTATATTAATCTTAAATAGTTTTGTTCATTTTATTGAATGCTTCAGCAATATTCGGTGGTCAGAATTTGCTATATTTGATCCAGATATCTAAATATCGATAGCATTTGGGATACATTTTCGAGTATCATCAAAATTTTTTTCAAGATTCAAGCAGTTCCGCAAAGGGATTTTAACTGTTTATTATGGCAGAAGAAAAATTAATTGTCAGCAAAAGATACTTGTATTTTATAATATCTTGGAGGTTTTTTAAATGTAACGAAAAATATTGGTTTTTATGCTAGTATATTCAATGAACAATTTCGATAAAATATGGGCGCCGAAAAATTCTTTCAAGTTGCTTTCAGATAGCCCTTTTGCCGGTTTTCCTCAGATATATCTACGGTTGTGGTTTAAATATTTTCCAGATAATATTTTTTAATACCTTTATTTACACAGTACAACAAAATCAAAAATTTTTTTCGTGCGCTTGTTTTTATGATAATTTGCATATCTAAAATTCTGATAACTTTTGGTTTAGTTTAGTTTTCCAGTCACGATATGGTTTCTGCGTACCTCTTTCGTGCATACAAATATTATGTGAGCACCACTTTTAGGCTCCTGCCACAGCAAAACATCTTAGGCCTCAGTTATTTGACAACATTAAATGATTTACATGTGAAGCTTTAAAAGTTGTCACTTTGTTTCATAAATGAAAGTTCTTTGCGATCTGTGTGTATGTGAAAATATGTAATTTTTTACTCGGGCAACAGAGTGGATACACGAAATATCGTTGCTTCATTTGTATGTAGTTAGCAATGATAAAGCAAATTGTCAAGGCGTTGGACAAAAAAGGTTGTTGTTTTTGTTACATTTTTAGAAAATTTTCGAAGCTTATTTTTGAAAAGTTGAAAAAAAAAATTAAATATTTTGATGATCCTCAAATACGGCAATTATTTACAGATAGAGATCAATTTTATAACAGTTTCGGAAAGTAAAGCTGGAAAAAGCTTTGTGTTGGTTATCGAAAAACTTTCTAGGTAGCCATATAGCACCAAAATATGAAGAAATTGTGCAAAATATGCTAGCAAACTATCAGATTCTAGGATCAACTATGAATATCACGTTACACAATCTACCCTATATATAAGGAGTGAAGTCAACCGGATATTTGAAAATCTTGATATTATTTATATGGGCCCGAGGGAAAGTTTTCATCCGATTTTATCTATTTTAGGCACAAATTGCACCGTTAATAGAGAAATACGCCTCTACAATTTTATTAAGATAACTTATATATTGACTAATATATACGTTATAAAATCAGTCAGAAGTTCGAAAATCTTTTTATTATGTATATGGGGGCTAAGAGAAGTATTGACCCGATTCAATCCATTTTTGATATACAGACATAATATTATCAGGAAAAGATTTGCACCGAATTCCAATTATATATCTCATGTATTGAATGATAATTTCGGTAAAAAGTCAACCATGGACACTGGGGTCCACATCTTCGGTATATGGGGGTTTGAACATGTATGACCCGAATTTGACTATTTTCCGACTTGAGATGGCATATCTTGAAGGCACTCTTTTTTCAAACTTTTATTTTAATATATTCATTAGTGCTTGATTTGTATACTGGAAAGTCAACAAATAAGATGGAATTTAAATTTGTGTTATTTTGAAAGTAGGCGTGATTTTAATGCGATTTCGCTCACTTTATGCACTTTATGCACTATATTAAACCTGTTAGACCGCTGGCCACGCCCACTTTTAAAACATATTTTTAAGATACGGCTCCCTAATGCGATTCGTTATATTAAATAACAGTCTTATATCTTATTGTGGAGCTTAGTTATGGCAATTTATTGATTTTCAATTAATGGCATTTTGTGGAGGTTTTACGCCTATCTACAATACCATCCTTCTATCGGCGCCTAGAAATATGTTTATCAAGTTTCATCAATATATCTCAATGTTTACTCAAGTTACAGCTTGTACAGATCGACGGATGGATGGACAGACAGTCCTCCGAATTTCAACTCGTCTCGTCACCCTGATCATTTATATACAAGTATATAAATATAACCCTATATCTAACTCGATTAGTTTGAGGTGATACAAACAACGTTAGGTTAAGAAAACTATTATACTCTATAGCAAATGTATAAAAATGTCAAGATAGTACTTTAGAGGACAACCAAAGTTGGGCGAAAGCATCGACATTAGATTTTGAATATTTTACTCGAAGAGAGTAATTGAAGTTGAAAACATTCCATAATACTTGTATATCTGGATTTGAAGTAGTAGACAAAATATTTCACGATACTCGTAACAAATTTGCGTATTAAGTGCAATGAAAACCGAATCGTAATACCATGTAAAATATTTCTTCAATTTAATCCATCATCAGATGCAAATATATCAAATATGTTTTTAGTTTTTTCTTATTAACTATCAGTTTCTATATTACAATCATATTATCCCTCTCAGCTTTCTTTGCAACCACATTCAGACCGCACTCATGGGCACAACTAATCCTACTTGACCTGTCACACGACACAAGAATTGACACATTTTTTCATGCATCGTTCACTTTTTGTTGTTACCATTTTTTCTGCTATCTCTTGTGCACTTAATCTTCGACATTTTTTGAGGCTTGAGGGGGTAATAGGAGTTTTCCTTGAATTTTGTTTTTGTCTGCGCATTTTGACTTACCTTTATCATCATTGGGCGTTGTTTGGTCATCACTCATCTTGATAGATTTTTTGTTTTGGTTTACAGTGTTGTCTCGTTGCGTGTTTATTCGTTTCCTTTGTTTTGGTTTTTTTAGGTTTTGCGTAGTTTTGTTTTTTCTTTTGTTATGCCTTATTGCTGCGCTTTTTTGTATTGTTTGCTTGTAGCTTTAAACGAATATTTTTTTTTTTATATTTTATTCTATTGTTGTGTTTGTATTGTTTTAGCGCGTTATTTGATTGTTTCGAATTTTTGAATATTTATTAAAGTTAGATTTTTCAATTTCGATGTTTTTCTTTTATAATATTATATTATTATATATTTATATATTTATATTACTCTTACTGCTTAAATTATTAAATTTATTTGTTATTGTTTTATCATTACTATATTTTACAGTTATAGATGTTAGCAACTTGGTTTGTTGTTTAGATGCTCGCTGGTCTATTGGAAAACCGTTTTGGAAAAATACTCTAAGACTTTTTTCAAAATATTTCATGGTCCAATAGGTGCGTGTCTACTGGCAACATTTTTCTTGAAACATGAAATTTCAATTTTCAGTTAGCTGGTAACTCTGATGATGCGACTGCACACCGCAATTCGTTGCTTTAATGTCCCAAATTTTGTGGCTTTAATATTTCTTGTTAACAGTGATTTTATGTCTTCTGCTTAAAGTTTACTTCTTTTCTTATTCTTTCTCTATTGCACTGCAACAATTTGTGCTATCTCTTTTGAATTTGACGCCTTTATCTCTTTGGCTTCGTCGGCATGCGCGTTCTTCGTGGTCTTCGAAGACAGTTCAACGAAATTTGTTGTTGCTGTTGGTTTCGCCGTTATTACAGGCCATGCATTTTTAATGAATTCACAAGTCAACTGCTTCACGAGCATCGCGGGCATTAGCTGGCTCAGTGCCGCTATACGGCCGGGCCAAGCCATTGCTTCTGTGTCGTTGTACTCGGCGTTCCGTTGCGGCATTTTGCGCAAATTCCGTTGCCGTCCAAGTTTGGCGACTGTATTATTATTTATTTTTAATAGATGATGTCTTTAAATGCGTTCCACCGTATGGTAGACGCTGGCTATTGTTTTGTTAGTGTCCTTGCTACAGCTGTGCATTAGTATGCCGGACATTGTTGCTCATACGCAATGACGCACATTGTGTGGAGACATAATTGAGCAAATTACGCAGGCTTTTGGTCTGAAATTGAAATTGAAAGTTGGAAAATTTATTGATAATAGTTCTCAATAAATATGTAGACATTAATTTGCAGGTATTTGAATGTGAAATTTATTTACCATAAATATATATATTTGGAACAAATAAAAAAAATAGAATAGAAAAATTTGATTATTTTGAAATACTTTCGAGGAAGAAGATTAAATTCAGGATATTTTTACTTGCTGATTAAAATTCAGAGTACATATAATATGTGTTCATACCCTAATGATGATGTTTCTAATATCAAATTAATTATTAATAGAATACAATTCAGATTCTTAGAAATAGAATGAGGGGACACTCTTGATCAACTTAGGTGACGGAAAAACAACCCTTCTATCAAAAAAGGTATGAAAAGATAATGAATTCGTTACTATTTCTTTCAGGGAAGCTTTAGCGGTCCCTTTTGATTGATTGCTTCCTGCACTCAATTCCAAAAAATAACTTTCATCCGAAAATATTGGGAAATCGGACTAAAAGACTGAAATATATTAATATCCATGGCGTATAAAACCACTCCCTATCTTTAATTGTTATACCAAAATAATGAGTATATATCTGTCGTTTGAATTGTGTTATATAGAAGTCGAGCTGCTTTAATAATAAATATCAGACAAAATGACAATATTTCAAAGCTTGAATTCCATAACTTTTAACTAATTACTTTAAAAAATATTGAGAGACTTGTCATTAGCTGCTGAAATGCAAATACTATTAAAAAAAATATTTGATGGTGGCAGGAAACTCAGTTCGTGCTTATGGCCTGAAGAATGCCATCATTAAGAGAAATTAAACAAAAATTACTCGTTTCGTTTGGTGAAGGCTCTTAACCACATTTTTGTATTGTTAGGTGTTTACATTGAGGAGATGGAGATGATGAAAATATTGTAACATGTCATAACTACACTTAGAAGTAAAATATTTCTTATATTCTTCTAACTATATATTTTGATTTAGACTTTCAAGTGGCATCATGCTTAGAAAAGCTGATGTCAGAGAGTAGTGGAAGAGTTTTGACATGTTTCCAAGGTTGCGATAGCTTTAACTCAACAAAAATGTTCGCTCGCTCCCTCTGTGATATATCTATACAATTAAAAATATAACATCTGATATACTACACAAATGCAGTGTAAAAATTTTCTACTAGAACCAAGCGAAAAACACATTCTTGAAAAATGAACTCGTTTTGTTCATTTTCTCTATAAAATAGTGCGTTTTTATGTAATTATTTATGAAACTACAATACAATATTTTAGAAAAAACAGTTCAAATATAGGAACAAAGCAAAATGAGTATTAAAAATTAATTTTTAAAAATAATTCCTGCATTTTTATGTAAGTGGCAATAAAAACGGATCGCTCAAAACCCAGTCCTTGTGTGGAAAACTTTTCTATTTGACAAGATATCTTTACGAAATTTGGTTTATTATCCAAGGCAATTGACCAGGCAAAATCAGGATAAATTTCTTTCTATACCCAATCATGCTTTAAGAAATATACCTGTGAAGGGAACTATAGCATCGATGCAGTCGAAGCTAACGTTTTTCTTGTTATTTCTTCTATTAATTTATATAAAAGTTATTATGATTCAAAAGCCAGGCAAATCAGTTTATTATCTATCATCTTACAGGCGCCGATCGCTTCTAACGATGATGTCAAAACTTTTCGAGAGAATTCTCACAAATCGTTTCAATGAAATCATAGAATGAAAATAATAATTTCAGCACATCAATTTGGGTTAGACTTAACCACTCTACGATCGATCAAATCCACAAAATAGCATACATTTTAAATAGAAAAAATTTTTGAAGAAGAATATTTTGCTCTGCAGTATTTTGAAAGCATTCGATAAGGTATACCTGCTTTCGAAAATAAAATGGATTTTACCGTAAAGAGCTGAAAATTCGACTCAAAAATATTAATTCGCAAATAGGATTCATGTTACTCTTCATCCATACTATCGATAGAAAATAAGATAATTATCTATATGCTAGTACTCAAACCTATATGTGGCAGCAATGGTGTAGTTGCAACGAAATATAAAAATTTAAAAAATAAAAAATAAAAATATTTCGTGGTATCGAAAATAATCACTAATTCTAAGCCATTTAAGTCGAAATAATAGCAAACATTCTACTTTAAATACCATTAACCAATATATACTTTATATTAAACCCCTTAAAATTAAAAATAAATGTTACTGATTTTCAATATTAGTTTAAAATAAAATGCATTAATCTACTTCTAACAAATTTGTATGAATATTTGTAGATATACTATGTAGTTCTATATACATATATATATATATATATATATCGTATGAAATTAAGATGTGCCTACACACGTATCAGTTTTCCCGCTAATGCCTACATAATTCTCTACAAAGGTTTTAAATAATTCCATAGCATTATGGCTCAGCGAACGCCGATCACAAATAAATTATTTTGCAAATCCACTTTAATGCTCAATTGCGTTATTGCAATGCGGCAGATAACCGCTTTTGCATATAAATCGGCAGCGGGAATATTTTCGGCAATAACGGCGAGCACTTGTTTTTTGTTTGCTTACACTGCTTAGCTTCAAATCCATGCGCCACCCGACACTCCCCACTCGAATCCGCATATGTGAATAAGCCATATGTGTGTGTATGTTTGTACTATTTATGCCAGCCAAAGCAAATGCAATGACAGCCTTTGATTCGAATAAACCTATTTGTTGAAATGAAAAAAAAAACAACAAAGACCCGATACTAAGTGCTATTAATCCCACAATCTGCGTTTTACATGCACACAACTATTTATATTAATGCAAAGCGAAATCTCAGTTTGGAGATATAAATACAACAATACATGCGTGAATTTTATATATAACATTACTGTCTGATATAATATAGGCCGATGGCAGTGACAAAATGCCGCTGTGTCAGCGCGAGTATAATGCAGTTAAGTAATACTGGTAGACACAGTGAGTTCAGCAAAAAGGACACAATTGATTTAGGTAATCGGCATAGCAAAAGAGTCAACGTGAAACTGATTGCAAGCAAATTAGTGAATTGGTGAAAGTACTTTACCGTTAGTGCTTTAGTAACTTCAGCTTATTGTGACCACCGTCGCGTCTGTTAGAGCTTTTTTCTGACAGGTTGTATTAAAATGTTTGTTTTCAAAACACACTAAGACGAAGCGTAAAAAAACATGCTATATGAACATCTGATCAAATTTGAACTGGTCTGGACTGGTCCAGCTTTTTTTCCTAGATTTATACAAACTTTTTTTATGTTCGTGTGAATTTAATCTTGTTTGGCGATTTTTATTGCTTGAAGTTTTTTATTTACTATTGTGATGCCAAAAGAATGGTTGAAAATGTTGCAGAAGTAATTTGGGAGTACACAATTATTTGATTGGCACAAATCTTTCAGTGAAGATCGTGAAGTCATCAAAAATTTCTCTCATGAGAGTCCCATTCATTTCTGTTAATGTCGATAACATCGAAATAGTTCAAAAAACAGTGCTTGAAAATCATCGTGTTGGAATTAGAGAGATAGCAGGGGAACTCAACATCTCTTATAGATCGACTTAATACATTTTGGTTAATGTTTTGGGTATGAAGCGTGTCAATGTTAGACTCGTACCAAAAAAATTGAGTCTTTTGCAAAAACGACGTTAAAATGTATTTATTTTGTCAGTCCAGGTCAAATTTAAGGTGGTTTGTCCAAAAGGAAATAAATGTTCTAGCATATGAAGTAGACTTAACAGTTTTCGAGAACTAATATTTTTTGTATTTTTTTATCAATTAAAATTTATTTTGAAAATCTAGTTTGGAGGGTAGTCTGTGTTAAAAAATTATAACTGACATGACGACAACCTAAAAAAAATAGTTGAAACTTTTGAAAGTGCTGTCCTTCGATAATAGTTTTTCCAAAATGGCAATCGTCATAGCTTTTTGGGACCAAATTAAATAAAACGACTGTGCATAATTCAAAAGTATGATAATCTCTTCAACAACTGAAACTCAAATCTAGCAGATATCATAGAACGACATGCCTTAGACAAATCTATTATTATGGTGTTTTCTGTCAAACGGCCCTGGTAATAAGTAAAAATTTCATCATGAGAAACAACATAGCTCAGGTATTACACAAATCCAGTTGTATTTACATCGAGTCTCATATGAAAATACTCCTGTGAGTAGTTTTACTTTACACAGAGGCTACGAAAATTTGATTTTAACATCGTCGGAACCTTACTAAAAAACAGATTTGACCTCTAAAATATCAGAGCTTTAATGTGAGGTTATTTAAATTTGTTTATGTAACTCTCTTATTTTATATTGAGTACTTGAAAATTATCCAGTTCTAACACTACGAAGACATCCATACGTTGAAGAACAAAATAAGAGAGGTATTGAGAGAATATTGCACAGTAGTACTTTTACGTTACATGAACATGCTTCAAGAGAGTAAAGAAGAGAATATTTTAAGCATTTATATATTATTTAAAATTCAAATATTTTCAAAGACTTCTGTTTTAGTGGAAGGACCGCAAAGAAAATATCGATTCTCGGTTTTCACGTTTTTAGTTCGATCCTGAGGAAAAATTCAAAACTTATTCTTTTCGAAATCAAAAAGTTTCGAGATAAAAATTGTTACTGAGGAATGTTTCTAATATTCTTGTAAAAATCGTGATATTTATCTACATTATTTGTAAAGATATTTTTTTTTTTTAATTTTAGACTTTCTGCGTGTAAGCCCTCGAGCTCTTATAGTAGAATTTTTAGGCAAACGCATTTATGTTTCATTTTTGTCGTTCCTTAATTGGCAATAGAACAATACTTTTTTTCTTCTTTTTTTTCTTGAAAGACAGATATGAGGAATAAGAAATTCCATGATTCACGCGCTCCAAAATCGAGTTCAGTTTTGTGTATATACAATACATAAACTATATAGTATTCTTCACAGCGTTGCTTCCAAATCTAAAGAGACCT